CTCCCTTTGCAGTCTGCTCTTCCAGCAGACTCTCCTCTTAAGATGACAGGCATGCACCAAGCACCCTGTCACGGTAAACTTGATCTGTTTTTGTGACCCATTTTAATGCTAGTTGTCTAATTTTAAAGAATGGCTTCTGACCCAGGAAGTTCTTTCTAGTTTGTGGCATGCACACGTTTGTGTACACAAAGATGTCTTGTGTACTCCATGGTGCCTGAGTAGAATCTTTCTTTCTCTCTTTCATTTTACTTCTGCCCCTAAGGCTGAAAACAGATGTTTGTATGAATTTTTATCTTGGAATAAAATGGCTTACCCTGAGATAAATACAGCATCAATCTGTTGCCCTTTTTTTAAAGTTTCCTGGGTAAGAGGTAGTAACAATTTATCCCAGGATATTACAAAGTGTGTCAGTATAGTTATCCCAGGATTGCATAACTGAATCAATGGCAGCACATTCAGCTACTGACCAACACAGGCCTAGTCTATTCGGGGACCAATGCAACATCTGTCCCTAGCCTAAAGAAGTTGTTTGACCATGAGGGCATGGGGCTTCCTGCTATCTTTCTGTTTCCTGGACAGAAGAGAGGCTGCACTGCCACTTCTGGAAGGTTGGTACTGCAGACATGCACCCCTTGTGACATGGAGTTCCAAGGGGCATTTTACTAACTTAAGGCAATGAACTTCACTTGAACTAGTTTTGACCCAGTATGACTGTGGTTGCAGGGGGGAGGGCTGGGACCCTTCTTATCATATTTTAAGTGATTAGTAGCCTGTCTTTTTTTTTTTCTTTTCAACTTGAACTTGAGGCCCCTGATGCATTATATTGTACAACATACCAGTTAAATGCACAATAAAACTTAGACATGTTACAAATAATTATCAGAGTAAAAATGGTCAACTAGCCACAAAGACTTCTTTTGTGTCTGGCTTCTATCAGGCTTTAACTTGAACATGTGGCATATAAGATGTAGGGTGACAGACATGACCAAACACTTCCTTCTCTCCCCCCCCCCCCCCCCCCCCCCGGCGCAAGGAGAGTCAGTGACTTTTTTTTTTCTGAATTCTACTGCCTCGGTGCCTCAGTAGGAGATATCATGACTGACTTCTCTCTTTCCCTAACCAGTCTTCAAAGTTGCTTCTTTAAAGAGCCACAAGTACCTTTTTCCTGTGAGAAGCAGGAGAGAGATGCTCAACATGACATGCTTTACTTGCACATAATAGTAATCTGAGAGAAGGGGAGACAGTTTCCTTGGAAAGCTGCCAGTGGAGACAGCATGGGGGAAAGACAAGAAGCACAAACTAAAACACCTCCCAAGGTCCGTGGGAGTTTGAGTCTTGCTGCTTTCTGTCTTCACGTGGATCTCCCTTGATTTGGACAAGGGTCAGGGGAGCAGCTCCCTTACCCAGGGGAGCTCAGAGCTCACTTCTCACTAGCAGCATGGCTAAAGGTGTGGGAGGGGGGAATGAAAGCCCCTTTCCAGCTCCCCTTGATTGTGAGTGGAATGATAGTTAGTTTCTAGCTCCCCTTGCTGGTGAGTTTGGCAGAGCACATTTCCAGAAGACCTTTTCCCTGCTCTGGATAGCCTGTCCTGTGCACGTGGAGCAGGTCATAGGGCATGACAGACCTGTTGCTTGATGGAAATAATGTCTGCCAGTGACTTTGCTTTAGCAGAAATTGCTGCTATTGTTTCATAGATACTATGATGGAGATGAGGTTAGCAGAAGGTGTAGGAAGAAAGCTCTGATGGGATTTTAATATAGCAGAGTGGTTTTCAACCTGTGGTTCATGGACCCTTGCTGTTCCCCTTTGACAGTCTGTGGTCAGCAAAAGATGACTATGATCAACTGTAAATGTGGGTGTCCTTACATTTTAATTCAAAGGGGTCTGCACCTCCACTTTAAAAATTTTTAGGGGTCTGCAAATGAAGAGAGACTGAAAACCACTGGTCCAGAGTGTTCCCCACATCAATCTTTCAGGGAGCAGGAGGTATTTTGTAGGTCCCTTTCATAATGGAGAGTAGTCTGTATAAGATGGTTGGTTAGTCATTAGATTTGCACCCTGCCCTACCTAAAAGGCTCAAATTGGTTTATAATAAGCACACAACCATGATTCCCCATACAACTCCCTGAAACCAGAGACCTATTTTCCCTGCCCAACCTTGATGTAAACAAACCTCTTACCAACCCCAACTGCCACTTGCATCCTGATGCAAGAAATCTCTTCCTACCCACTCCCACTGCCTGGACTCATCCCCAGGGGAAATTTTTTCTCCCCCACCTTCCTGCACTGTTCCCTCCAAGCCAGCAACCCCTCTGCTACAGAAAGTCTGAGTGTCACCACTTTCCTCCAAAGCCATACCCAACTTGTTTTCCTCCCCCACAACAAACGCCATGCAAATCCCCAAGCATGTTAACAATCAAGTAAAAGAGAGACTTTCTGGCCTTACGTTGGTCACCACCAGAAGAGTGCCTCTAAACAGCACAATGGGCAGAGTGACTTTTTTTTTTTTCTTACCTCCAGAAAACTTGAGGGGGTCATGTAGAGGTACACTTTGCTATGCAAGACTTAACCTGCTCAGTAGAACTGAAGTTGTTAGTTTTCTCTGCTCATCTGATACTGTGAACAACTAAGGTATTGCTGAAGAAAAATCTTTGATTCTTATCAATCTACCTACAACCTGAGGGGGTGTGCCACACTCAAAGCAGTTTGATATTAGAAATACAGATAAGTAGTACCTTATTCTATCAAATTACCTGGCTGCAAAGGGAGGTGTTGTTCATTGTGAGAAGCTGTCCAAAAACTTGTAAGAATTCAAGTAGCTCAGTGTTGTTTCATACCTTCAAATTGGTTGCCTTCCTATGTGTGGTTTTATATCGAAGCTCAGCAAATATCCATTATTCCCCCTTTTATTGTACAGCACTCTTTTTTGATTTGCTACAAATATGCCAATCCTTTATTATGTGAAACAAAAATCAAGTTACTCCCAAGAAGAAGGTAGATAATTCATGTGCTAATGCTAAGTCATTTCACTGAATCATATGTCTTAATATATATTTATGTACAGATACTTGCTCTTGTATATTCCTGAATACATAATCTGGAATTATAGTTTACTCTTTGGAACCATTTGAAAATATAAAAATGTATAAACAGAAGTTTATAATCTTCATGTGTACTAGCATCTCTCTCTTTCCCCCCCCAGCCCCTCCATCCTTATCAAAGATGTTTTTTTTTTTTTTTTTTTTTTTAAAAAAAAATCTGGGTTTTGAAATG